AGGCGATTGCAACCATTTCCTGTAGTATTTCTGTTGCTGCATTAAAATTCTTTCAAAAGAATTTTTCTCCTCAGTCAACACCGACAGCTTGTTGACGTTTTCGCAATTTGCTCGCATTTCTTTTATAAGTTTTTCTTGCGCTAAAGCCAACTCTTCGCAAAAATATTTACGTTCTTATTCTCGGAATGACGAGTACACTAGCTGCATGTACCCTTTTATTTATCATTATCCGATATACGAATCATGGACTTGATCAGAACGTACCGTTTTTTCATTTCTTGGTATTAAAAATAACCACTTAGCCGTCTCTTCTTCCTTTCTTGCTCAATTAAACGTGTGTCCTTCTCTGCGGTTGTCTCCAGTTCGAAACCATATTTTCTAAGGACTTCTTGTTCGAGTTCATCCAAATTTAGGATCAAACCAAATTTTTTCATCATTTCTTCTTTAATTATACTCTCCAATCGGGTAATTTCAAATAGCGTAAATGAAATATCCGTGCTCATATGTCTTAAATGTACGATATTTATGCGGTGCAAGCGTTTAGTTTCTATTTCTACATTTTTAAGTGTTCCTGCGCGCTCCTTTAAACCCATAAGCCTCTTGGAGTCGAAAAGAATCGCCTTACTTAAGTCACGGAAATCTTCGCCTTCTCGAAAATGTTGTATTTGATGCATTTGTAAAAAGATGGACACATAAATTTTGTTAAGCTCTTGTTGGCGTTTCCGCTAAGAGAAGTTTTTATAGGTTACACTGGTATTTAATTTTTTAATTTATTGCGGCAAGCGAAACGTGAATAATTCATATATTTCAATATTGATTCATTTCTGGCACAGTACTATTGTACGCTACTGTCTCTTCACTTTGCGTTTTTGTATTCGCACTTATATTCTGTTCTATGCGAATTAAAGTTGCGAAAAAACGCACTTACCCTGAACGCCAGCAACGTTTCCTTCTCTTTATTATAAACATCCGTATGATATTTTACGTTCTTTTGCGCTGCCTTAACTTCGTCACGTTTGGAATCTATCTACTTGAGGATATCATGTAAATTTTTTCCAATGCGTTTCTATTTGCGCGTAACCTAAACGCTAACTTATACATGGAGCTCTCCAACCCGGATGGATAATGGCTTTCATCCAAACGTACGGCCGTCATATCGGTGGAGTCAATACTTTTGGTGTCTTCTTTCCCTTCGCTGGAGGATTCATCCTCCGTGCTCGACTCGGACGATTCTAAAGAAACATATAGAACATAGAAAAACGAGAGTATATAATGCTTCCAGAGCAATTTACGCTTAAATTCTACATAGTTTACCATCTTCATTTTTCGGTGGCTTAGGTGGACGCCATTTTTTCCGAAAAATACGACGCACAAAAGTCGAGAAACTCATGATCCTTAGTGTTAGTCCTAAATTTTGTTTGAACTACAGCGATTTGGTCATTAATGCGATCGCAGCTTTTACGTAAATCGTCAATTTGCCGTGTCAACGCGTTAATATAGGTCTGAGCCTGGTTACGTGCCGGCAAAGCGTATTCGGCATTACTTAATAATTGGTTTTCTATCTGTTCGTTCTCTCTCATTATATATAGCTCTTGATTCATAGCTGTTAGATAACTAGTCATGAAATCAGTCTCATATTTTACTTGGAGTCGATCATCGTCTAATTCCGTCAAAAGATTATCAAATCTTTGAACGCTTTGATTTACAACGTTTAGAATGTCGTCTTGTTCGTTTAATACACTTATCAGCCAGCGATAACGTTTTTCTATTAACCATGGCGAAGGCTCTTCTTCATAAAAGGCCAAATCTGGTGGACTAGGTAATGGCTTGAATTCCTCTACAAGATGAGAATGCTTCGGAAAAGACTTAATGTCTTCCAGCCTGCAGATAGACATCTGATCCAATTCAAGAATTTCGTCTACTTTATTTTTAAACTTTCTAATTTTACTTATTGATCGCTTTGGAAATAGATCTTCAACTTTCTTCTCAAGGTATAATATATCGTTGATTTCTGTACCACAGGCAGGGAAATATTTCTCTATTAAATTGATCTCTGGATATTCTTCGTCCATATTTATTGATTTTGGTCTTTTTAATATAACCTAGTTCGAAGACTCTTTTGTTAAAATTGGAAAGGATTGCGTGAAGGTGTTCGCGTAGCATTAAAACCTCATGATATTTATAGGCCAAAGTTTCAAACGATTGTGGTTCGTTTTTTGCGCCTGTTCACAATTTCGCACCTCCTTTGCATTTATCCAAATTTCTCGCTGTTTGAAGTTTTCTTCTTGTTTGCATTTCAAAGCAATATTAAACTTTAATTTCAAAAGAGAAAAAGCTTTAAAAAACCGAGCTTTCCTTATCTCTAGAAACAGACTAGAAAAAATAAACCCGGCTTATTCGAAACAACGCCTGGCAAAAATAATTGTATTTCGATCTTAGGAAAGTAAGGATTTTGAATTCTCAGCCCATACAATTCGCTTCAATTTATAATTGCAAGCTGCGTGTGATGTATTTCGTAGGAAATGTTCGGGGCACGAGGAAGATTCATGTTTTACATTGGGAAATTAGAGCAATGGAAAAAGTGCTCGCGCATTTGCGTAGTATTCATATTTGTCTTACGAATCTGGTTTTTTCACATCTCGTGGTGTTTTCTCTCTCATCGACAGCGTGCATTTACGATTATTTGAAAGTACGTTTAAATTATGTTATGCTTTGCTATGTTCTTTTTGCTTTTTGAATCTCTGTATACAAGCTCCATTACAATGTCAAGAAACGTTACCCACCGTCGTTTTAATGCTTCCAAATGCAAAAGTCCCTCAACATGTGTTTTAATTGCTTCGAAATGCTCAACCAAACGTTAGATGCGAAAAGTATAGATTTGAGCACTAGAACTGTGTATAAAAGATTGTTCAATACAGGGAAAGTTTATATATGCAGTCAATAATTGAGAGTAAAAGAGTATAATCTAAAACCGCTTTCAGTAAGTCTAGAAAATGTACGACGATATAGAGATACTGATGCAAATTGTAATTTTTCAGGAGCCAGAGCAATTAATACTCACCCGAAACTTGTTATTTTAATTGGTATGTGATCCAAATTCTTTATAAAATGATCATATAGTTTTTGCTTGCCGACCTCAGCCACTTCCAAGTCATAGGCTAGATCGTCTCGTACATCATCCAATTCGAATTGTAGTTCACCCTGTAGTTGTTTTGTAATTCGGTCATCCAGTAGCATGCATTTGTACTCAATTCGTAAATCCTCTTTAATGCTCTTATTCTCCATCATCAGCCGGTTGAATTTTTCTTGTAGTCTTGCAATTTCTGCTAAAATTTTATTCATGCGCTGCGGCCGCTTCCTCTTGTCGCTTCTGTTCAGCATAGATTTTCTCCTGTTCTAGCGATGGATAATTCGGATCGACAATATCTGTGGCAGATGGAATTACCATTGTAGAAGCGTTACTTCTTCGCGCAATTTGACGTATTTCCGGTCCAAACCATGAATAAATGAAAATATTGCCATCATAACCGAACGAAATCAAACTTTTACCGTCACAACTACATAGTATCGACGGGATAGTGCCGTTTAAGGGATCATGCATGTTTCTTTTGACAAAAAAGCTGAGGAGCCCACAATTGCTTCTAAAATTGCTTACAAGCCGATTGGCGTTTTTAGGTCCGCCCGGCTGGCAAAGAGCAGTATTAAGTACATTCCACGGTTAATTTGACAGTTTGAATAAATTAGGAATATATTTAAAATTCTTTTTCTACACAGTTTATGAGATTTTAATTCGTGTGGCTGAAGGCAATTCTTGGATAGATGCAATTTTAAAAACTGCACCATCTAGAAAAGGAGCAAAGCCTAAAGTGCTACAAAGTGACAGGAAGGATGAATATAAAGATGACCCAGTTGTTAGTAATGAATGCTTTGCAAATACCATTACATGCTAATCGAGAGAACAGTGATAGTAACCAATAGCACATAATATTGAAAATAAAACAGGAAAGTTTTAATAGATTTATGTGCATCATAAGGCGTCTTGAAGTTTCGGATTTTTGTTATCACTTCTTAAGAGTGCAGCGTGCCGATGAGATGAAGATGTCAAAGGGACTGTAAGAGCTAGTCTTTTAATAGTTATATTAATTTTCTATACTGAAGAAATTTTTAAAAGGTAGCGACATTGAAGGATCCAATGTGGAGCATTACGTGCTTTTCACCGCCGCAATATTATTATTAAAAAAAGGATTGTAATACATTGTTTTTTGTATTTTGATATTATTTGATATATATAATAAAAATAATTTGTTGAACAAATACAGTCAATGCAATCTTAAATATTCGAAATTATTCGTTGTCGTCTTAGTTTGTAAATTGATTTTTTCACATTTCATTCTTTAAATTTTCGGCTTTGGATTTGTGCGGAGGGTGTGCTTTCGATGTTAATTCCGATATTTTTCCAAGTGTTTAGAAGCTTTTAAGACAGATTAAGACTGTTTAATAAGATTTTATATGCTTTGCTGGGGGAGGGGGAGGGGGGGGGGGGGGTAAACCAAATAGCCCAAGTAGGAGACAACGTAGTGAGGGTAGAAGAAGACTTTCAGGAGACAACACAAATGACAGATGAACCAACTATGATGCCAGTAGTTAAGCTAAATCTAACAAATATAAATACGGCAAGCCCAGATATATTTAGCGATGAGCTTTACAACAGCGGCTCGTCAATGTCGGCACAAGTTACCAGATGGAATCGTGTTATTATATGATTATCTACATCTCCTGCGGAGTTTAAAAGATAAAATAGAACAGAATTAGTTCAATTCTTCAATGGCGCCCTTCCAGCTATCCTGGGAGCGGCAATTAAAGAAGGTGTATTCAAAAACGACACCGAAATCGCAAAGATGACATGCGAAATCTTCAATATAATAACAGATTTCGTAAACATATTTCATCGGAGCTCCATAACGGCACAAAATGTGGAGAAGATGAAACAAAAACTAACGAAAATCAGCAAATAGTTCTTGGTGCAATTTAAGAACGACTACCCTGCCATTGCTGTAGAAACAACGATAACAAACTTTTCGAAATTACTAGAAGATTTGATGAAGGCTTACCCTGGCACAACTTTTACTTCATACAGGGTAAGATGCTCTGATATAGATCTCGATATTGATGTTGTTATGATCGACATAAACGAATATATGGAACAGGCTGGGGCTACCTCGAATATTTATCAGGATCTGTTGCGTGTCTTACTCAGTTCAGCCTATCTAGACGCTAATATGCGATTGACGTGTTTGCAGACGTTACTTAATAGTGGAGTCTCATTTTTGATGACTGAAGTTTTTCCATTTTCGTATTATGAGAAAATTTTGCAAGTGATAGCCGCTCAAGGCACCGGTTTACGAGTGCTCAATTTGAAAGGTGTCTGGATTAAAAATGAGCATATGAATTATATGTTTGAAATTGTTAAGAAATATGAATACCTTACCAAGCTATATGTACCTTATATTGCCAAGGATGATTTGCTCGAAGTGATAAGTAAATACTGCGAACGACTTCAGGTATTGGATATTTCGGGAGAAACAGATATTACCGAAATAGGTATCGCTTATCTAAGCAAGGGTGTGTGCAGTAATCGTTTGACAGTTATCGATGTTGGCGTGCCAGGAGAGGAGAATATCTGCTACTCGGATATAGCATTAATTCTGGAAAATTGCCCTAATGTTGAAACCTTGTCAACGTATTCGTTTGTGGGACCAGCTTTAAAATTCATTTACAATAATATAAATACTGATTTCAAATGTAAGCTTAAGTATTTACATGACACGGGTACAGATGAGGAGACGTTACAGACGATAGTGAGAATCTGTCCTCATTTGTAATCTCTTTACTTGGATACGCCAAAATCTGGCTGTTTACATGTACTTCATTCGCATTTTTTGCGCAAACTGAAAATTTACAAATTTTCCTGTGCGGAACTTTTCAAATTATTGGAAAGTGTAGGTCAAAACTTAAGTCATTTGACTATGATTAAGGGTAATGGAGAATTAGCGTTGGATCGTTTAGCTTATATATGTCCTCTATTAGTCGATTTGAATTGTTATATGATGGATAGATTGGTTTACACCAGTGGTCAAAAGCGTTTCATTCATTTGGAAGGATTGGAGATGTTAACCTGTCCGATTACAAACACCTCTCGAAAAGCGCTGATTTGCAATGTTACGCAACTTAAACGGTTGGCGGTGGATAGCGTTACTTTTAATGGTGAAGATATTGTTAGGTAAGTATTATTGGCATATTGAACGTTAGACTTTGTGGAGAACATTTTCTTTTAAATGCACTACAAAAGATTAGAAATATATATATCTATATATATATATATCCTACCGTCCTTATTTACACCGTATTCTACGTGTACTTGATTTTCGATCATTTATAGCAGAGCTTTTCCATTGTAACGATTTGATATTATTGGCCAAAATATAGGATTTTTCTCGCTGTGCCATCTTATTAAGATGGGCGTTTTATGTGGTGATATCCAAAGACTAGATCTACGTAGGCCAAATTTGGTTAGGTTGATATTTTTTATCATTTTACACTTATGAACCAGTTTTCAGTATAAATTATCGAAAATTATACCTTTTGACTGTAGAAAGATTCGTAGGAATAGTTATAGGAGAGAGAATTTAAAAAAGTTCCTCAGCCAAACCATATTTTTCATAACAATTTAAAATGGCGAAATATTATTATATAGCGAGCTTTGCCGAAAAATTTTGAAAATTGCAATTTTTCTCCACACGACAATTTTTCGTAATAAGACGTTATGTGGGGAGCGGTCGAAAAAGTAGACCGATGCGAACCATTATCCATAGCAATCGCCCTTAGACCAAAACACATCGAAATGCCAAATTTCGTTGAAATATCTCAAAAATAGTAGATTGAACATGAGAATACCACACGTACAGACGGACACACAAGCTTCAGAAAGTCGTTTTCAAGTCCTGTTGGATGTTGTACACATCCTCGCAAACTTAATATACCCCTGTACCACAAGCGATGTAGAGCATTTTGGTATTAATAGATTAACTAACATAACCACAATTTACGTTTTCTCGGTAATTGGAAGAGAACACTTTTCGAAGAATCTGAATTGTGTTTCTAAAATAGTAATACGTAAGGCATGCAGCGTTTTCAGTAAGTTGGTTCTGTGACGAATTGTCATGCTTGGTCAGTTCGTATACAAGATAGCATTGCTGTAGTGAGGCACATGTCGTTGAAAATTTAGATGGACCTCTTAGCCGCCCATCCATCCATCCATCAATTCAACATATAAGGCCCTTAAATCATTTGGGGAGGGGGAGATTTGTCAAACGCACATCTAAAAGGCCATCCATTCAAAACTATCTCCAGAGACCAAGCTCATATTTACACATTCTTTCCATCCTTTATTACGAGTTTTAGTTGAAAGCCAATCGATGCGCATTGAAATGTTCAGTCAATTACTGTTTCATTTAAGGGTAGAGAATATCAAGAGCTAAAGATGGTCGATATCGGGAGTGCGTGATCTAAATCAATTTTAATATGTGTATTTCTCCTTTCATTTAAAGCATATTCATTGAGCATGATTTCAAAGATTTGGAGGATATTCGGTTTACTTTAGCGCCAAATTTGACTGTGCAGTCCATTGAGGTATTTTTTGATGTAATAAAATTGTTATTGTAAAATTGTCATAAATCAAATTTCTAGATTTTAATGGATAGACGTCCGGAATTGCAAACCGTAGGGCAGTTAAGCGGTTGGGCGTTGACACCTGACCATTTAGCTCTTATACGCGGGCTTTTAAAAAGCGGTAACTCAAGCCTTGTACTTACTCCTAACAGTTTTTTCCCTTGATACTGCTTTCCTAACATTATATTGTCCAGACTAATCGTGAATTCATGTGCATGAACACAACGTAAAAGACGAAAAATAACGGTTTACTCATTTCTTTTAATTTCAGCATCTACAGTGAAATCTGTGATTCATCTGAAAAAGCTGATAAAACTATTAAAAATCTTAAAGTCTTAATGTGATTAGCTTTAATGTGCGTGTAGATATTTCCTTAAGAGAATGTGTTGACAAAAATTTTTTTTGTAGTTTTAATTGTAAATACAAGATTATTAAATGAAAATAAGAGAAGTCTCAGTGATCTGCTTAAATAGTTGCAGTCGTTGTGTTTAAGTGCAAACGTATAAGATATGTCTAGAAGATGGGCAAGTTGTCCTCACTAAACTAATTAAGTGTACATTCAACTGGCTATGCTAAGCAGACATAGTGTTAAGACTGTTTAATGACATTTTATATAGTTTCGATCCGGAATTTCGCTATTTTAACAAAGTGTTTACAACTGTTTAAGAATATCTAAAGATGTCTATCAAAACCACGCAAAATACAACTGTATTATCATTGTTGTAAATACAGATGCGCTCTGAAAAATGTTATATTATTACAAAATTGTGTTAAGTTCAATTTAATAAATAAAGAGAATAGTGAGAACATTTAAAAATACCATTTTAATACCATTCCAAAAGAGGTTCAAGCATTACAGATATGACATTGAAGGTATTTTCATGATAACGTTAGCTCCACCAGATGCCGTGATAATACTACATATTCCGAGCTACCACTGATACGCCAAGTGACGTATTGCACTCCACGGAGTTTGGGTTAATGAAGGAAACGATTAAAAATATATTTTGCTTATCATTACAATACCTCAGTTGCTTGGTACTGTGTGATGAGATGTCAATAATTTCAGAAACAAGCGCGCATAAATATAATTTATAGCACTAACATATAACTTAAATTAAGAATTCATTTTTTTTTTGAAAGACCGTAGACGAGTCGACTTGTGTTCAGTGTAGTGCGTGTTTTCTATTCGTCTGCGTTTTTTCAATTGTTTCGGTGTTTTTGTGTATTTAACTTCTGTCTTTTCAGTGTTATTGC